GGATACAGCCTTGTCTGACTCCTTTGCCAATTGGGAACCACTCTGTTTCTCTGTATTCTGTTTTGACAGTAGCCTCTTGTCCTGAGTACAGATTCCTTATCAGGACTATCAGACGTCTTGGCACTCCCAGGTCTTTAAGGGCTTTCCTATAGTCTATAAAGCACTATAGTCTATGAAGCATCTTACACTATGGTGTAAGGGCAGCCAATAAATGTATGAATAAAATCATTGAAGATTTTTGGAGATTTGTCCAGGCACACACCCCCCCCCCACCGACACCCACAGAGGAGTGTGCCCACTGCCTCTCTGCCTGCTCTGTTCTTCTGCTTTGGCCTCTTCCATTCAATGAGTTCCCATTGTGTAAGGAAGAGGTGCGACCGATTGCATGTTGTGTTCTCCCTGCATTAGAGGAGGAATCAGCTTGCATCTGTGAGTTGTGCAAAGGAGTCTTTCCACAGAGGGAGAGTTGTGCAAAGGAGCATTTGCACAGAGGGAATTCTTGGCAAGGAGAATTACGAAATCTAAACCCCCAAGGGTGCGAGCCAGCATGGTGTAGTGGTTTGACAACTCCGGAGACCAGGGTTCAGTTCCCAGCTTGGCCATGGAAACCCACTGGGTGACTTTGGGCAAGTCACACTCTCTCATCCTCAGGGGAAGGCCATGGCAAACATCCTCTGAACAACAGTCAGGAAATAACAAGCTTTCAAAACTCCATGGGCTTCTTCATGGACTCCATGGGCTCGTGACAAGTACATTGTGCATTTTGGTTGGCCAATAAAGGTATCACTGATGGATTTTTGTTTGAATCCTCTGAACAAATCTGACCAAGAAAACCCCATGATAGGCTTAGGGTCACCATAAATCAGAAATGAACTGAAGGCACACAACAACCACAACAAGAAATCTTGCAGTCACATGTGCACACACACACACACACACACAATGCTTCCATCATGAAGGACACTCAAGGAACCAGTAACTTGTTACAGCTTCTCAGCCAAACTCAAGTAACTTGTTATAATTTCTAAGCCAACTAACTTGTTGCAGCTTCTAAACCAGACTCAAGTAACGTGTTGCACCTTCTAAGCCAAACTCAAGTAACTTGTTACAGCTTCTCAGCCAAACTCAAGTAACTTGTTGCAGCTTCTCAGACAAACTAGAGCTCCATTCACACTACGGAAATAAACCACTGTGGAACCTGTTTATTTTCATTAAGTTCACGCTCGCCCCAACTGCAGGTGCAGTTGGGGAGGGGAGACCCAAAATCCCACTTAAACTGGTGCATTTGGCACCAGACCCCTTAGCGGCTCTTTTTTAAAGAGCCGTAACAATCTGCATCTTTGGAAGGGTGACCACACTACCGAATCGATTCGGATCGTGCTGCATCATTACGGAAATGGAGGCACCCCCATTTTAAATTGATACGGTGGCAAATGGGAACGGCAACAGGGTTAAAACGGCACGGAGAAATGTTATTGTGATAAACGTAGTGGGAACACCGAACCAATTCTGAATCGGTTCTGAATTGGTGCAGAGATGCAAATCCCTTCGTTCAAACAAGTAAGCGTGAATGGCCCCTCAAATAATTTATTGCTGCTTTGTTGCAAAACCCAAGAAAATCATTACAGCTTCTCATCCAAACTCAAGTCACTTGTTGCATCTCCTAAGTCCAGTTCAAATAACTTGTAGCTTCTTGGCCAGACTTTCCTTGCACGACGCTTGTCCTACTCTCTTCATATGGGTAAGAGAGTAGGAATTTCTTTTGGAAATCAGACTGGAGAAAAGTGGATTTAATGGGAAGCCAATCTGGGTGGGATGCTTGGAAGAGACCCCTGAGGATGCAGCCATGGTTCTTGATCAGCATCCCTCCCTCTCAGAAAAAATTAAAATACCCCATCCATTTGTGCACACTGTCCGTGCAAAAAGCAAAGCAAGTGGAAGAGACAAAGGGCTCCAGCCGTGCTCCATTTTCTCTCCGCCTGGACTTTGAATATTTATAGCAATTTGTGGCCTGGCCCAGAGATGTAAAGCGCAGAGGCAGCGGGGGGGGGGGGGGGGGGGGTGTCAGTGAAAAAGAGGAATGGGTTTCTCCAAATAAAGTCTCCCAAGCCACCCTTCCTCTCCCCTTTCTGCAACTCCTCTTGCCTAACAAGTCAACGTACAAAGTGTCTTCGTGAAGACAAGGCAAGGCTGCATTAATGCAAAATTCAGGAAGGGTAGGGGGCCCCGCCAGGCGCATTGTCCGGCAATGCTTGCAGGCCAAGGGCCCCCCTATTGTGTCTGGCTGGGAAAGAGCTGAAAACTCACGGCCGGGCCCCTGAGAATGAGATCATTGTCTCCCAACTGTCTAGCCGGCTATTCAGGGACACCCCCCACACACTTTCTCTTTGCTTTGCACCCAGGCTTTGCTCAAAATCTGTTGTGCTGGTCCACACCAATGGGGAATCCCTCCATTGCAGGGAATCGTAGCATTTGAAAGGGGTCTTAGAGGCTATCTAATCCAGCCCCCAGACATGCAAAGATGCCCGTGTGTATGTGATGTGCCTTCAAGTCATTTCCAACTTATGATGACCCAAAGGCAATCCTATCCTGGGTTTTCTTGGCCGGATTTGTTCAGAGGAGGTTTGCCATTGCTGTCCCTTGAGGCTGAGAGAGTGTGACTTTCCCAAGGTGCGCCAAAGGGTTTCCATGGAGTCAAACCCCAGTCTCTGGAATCTTAGTCCAATGCTCTAACCACTCCACCACACTGGCTCTCATCCAGCCAAGTTATACATAATACATTTATATTCCTAAAGGAACAAAGTGACTTTACTTTGTTTTCAGGGGTACTTCACAAACTGTGAAAGATGTTAATATTGTGTTTCTATTATTGTTGTTGCTTTCCTGGAGAAAATCAGGCATATTTTACCCGTATATATATATATATATATATATATATATATATATATATATAT